ACTGATGTGTCTGGCAAGAGCCCTCCTGAAGCAGGCCAAGGTGAGTGCCCTGCCTCCATCGGAGCAAGGGGGAGGGTGAGCTGCTGATGGCGGTGTGGGGACAGCAAAGCAGAGCGCTGCAGAGTTGGGGGTGTGATGGGAACAGATGTCCTGTACTAACTGCTTGGGTTGTCTCTAGGCAGGGATTTGGGTCTTCCCTGTGGTGCTTGGGAGCTCCCTTCACTCTCTGTCCCTGCCAGGTGCTCTGCATCGATGAGGCCACAGCCAGCGTGGATCAGAAGACAGACCAGCTGCTGCAGCAGACCATCCGCCAGCGCTTCGCTGACAAAACTGTTTTGACAATTGCTCACAGGTACGGAGGAATCCACACTCCACACGTAAATTCATCCTCCCGCTTCTGGGAAGTGGTGGCACACCTGCTGTGCCTAGGCCTTGACCTGAGCGGGGAGATCTTCACGATGAGGCTTTTCAAGTGCAAAGGGCTGGACCTTGCCAGTAGTTTGCCTCTTCTGCTTTATTAGCCCCCATGTGCTGGGAACAACTGGATGTGAAAACGTACCCAGAAAGTGGGGGGCCAACAAAGGGCAAAATACTGCATCGTATGGCAGATGGCTCTCCTGGGCACTGCCTACAGGGACTGGGGGAGTGAAGCGGACTTTGTGCTTCTGCCAAACAGGGCAGGGAGCTGTGGAGACCTATCCTGCAGAAAGGAGCAGTGTGGAGACTCGGGAGGAGCAGGCTCAGCAGAGGGCACTGCAGGACTGCCAGTTCCTGGCCAGGGGAGGCAGAATGCTGGGCTGTTTGGTTTTCCAGAAACCCTGAGTTTTGGTCCCAGCCTGCACCTGATGCCAGCAAGCTTGACACTGCCCAGGCAGGACAGGGAAACGGCGCCTGCCCCACAGCAGAGAGATTTAGTGTAAGAGTGGGGGCAATAGATGGTTAGAGGTGGAGGGAGGAGGGCAAAACGTGAATACTATGGATAGTGACAAGAGATGGTTCAGCATCAGGCAGTGCTCTCTGCCCAGGGTTTTCCCACTCTTGCCAAGTGGAGGAGTATTTGGAAGAGGGTTATGCAGGTGTTTTCAAAGCACGAAGGTTACCACAAAAATAAAAATCAAATGAGCAGGTGGCAGGGGCTGGTGTCCTGCTGCACAGAAGTGGGAGTGATGGATGACAGGCAGGTTGGGCTGGGCTTGGCAAGTGAATTGAGTAGGTCTTGTTAAATACATCAGGTAGGAGGGAGGCAAGAGGGGTGTGAAGGGGACGTGGTTCCTGCGCTAGGGAGATTATGCAGAAAGAGAGTAGAAAGGTAAGGGCACTGTGGGCTGAGGTGTGTGGTTTGGGGGGAGGCCACACCTGATGGTAGAGAAGTAGTTAGAGAGGAGAACCAGGAGAGAAAGGAGTGGCAGCAGGCAAGGCAGTGAGACTGGCTTGAAGATGGCGTCAGCCCCACTTCTGCTGGGATGAAGGGAGATGGGGAGAGCAGTAAGGAGGGAGAGATGGTGACAAGGTTGTTTTGCACCCATGGTTCTTCCATGCCATTCAGCTTCAGGTGAAACATTAATTGGATGGGTGAAATCTAGGATGGGAAGTGACTCAGTATTTGTTCTTTGTCCTTTCAGGTCACTTCCAGTGCTGCAGCCTGGATTTTTTATTTTGGGATTGAATATGTAATTAGAGTCCTAAACCCCATAATGCTTTTACCTGCTCAAGTCCTGTGCTGTGCCTTCCCTGTGACTTGCAGCTTTGCAGGGCCGTAGTTTCTCACTGAACAGTGCGCAACTGTGCGAAGAACTCCCTCCTCAGGGCCAGAGGTTGCTGCCCTGCTAGCAGGCTGGGCAGAACTGGGTGCATACGTGTGCTGCGGGGGCTGTGGTTGGCAGTCTGGCAACTGCCAAATCCACTGGTGGTGGCAGCATAAGCAAAGATGCCAGACTGCTGGGGAAGGGTGGCTGATGCACAAGTCCATTTCTGCCCTCAGGAAGTGGCAGGTGAGGAAGCGTAGGGGCAGACAAAAGCAACTCAATAACTCTCCTGTGGGAATGGAGAAATCTTGTGCAACCCCAGAATCAGGTGTGCCCTGAGCTCTCCCTCCACATAGCTTCCCTCTGCACTCCTGGTGCCCTGCCGTGCCCACACCAGGAAGGCTCTTTGGAGAGGTGATGTGTTTCAGCAGTGCACAGAGGCTCTCTGGGGAGCTGGACTGCAGTGTGTCCCTGAGTGTACAGGGAGCAGCTCTGCAGATCCTGGTGCTGGGCAGGTCTTGGGCCACCCCTCAACTGCAGGGGAAGCAGTATCTGGGGTTTCTCGTTAGATCCACTAACACGTGTCCTGGCATTTGCTGTCCGCAGGCTGAACACCATCTTGGACTCAGACCGTGTGCTGGTGATGCAGGATGGGAGAGTGGCAGAGCTGGGTTCACCCACCCACCTAAGCCAGAAAGACGGCTCCTTGTTCCAGCGCCTCCTGCACAGGGGACAGCAATGACCTCCCTCCTGGGCTGAGCCCAGGCCGCTCTCAGGGCTCTGTGGCTGGCTTTCCTCTCACGTCAGCTGCGAGCGCTGTCCCTGGGTTATTCCTGCCTTCAGGCAGCAATTGGGCATCTTGGCAGGAGCATGGCACTGCAGCCCTTCCTTCAGCAGGGAAGATGGGACGGGGTGTTTAGGGCCATGCAAGCCTGGCTGGTGGGATGCTGTTCCCCATCCAGGCTCCCCTTTGAGATTACAGAGGGCTTTTCTCCTTACTGAAGAATCAGTAACTACTAGTCTGAGACATAGTCTCACATGTGCAATTTAAAATAAAGTGGAAACATCCTTTTGAAGTTCTCTTATTCAGGTTCCTGTCCTCTTTTGCCCCCAGACACAGACTTGTGAGATACAGGAGCAGTGCCCTCTCTGCACAAACACAACCCTACCTGCTCCCCACTACTTTCAGAGGGTACTGGCTTTTCCAAGCCCAGAAGGTTGCAGCTGGAGACCTTGCTGCTCTTCCTCCAGTTTACAGGGGAGAAGCTCTTCCCCTGAAGAGCCAGAATGTGATTACGTTAAAGGCCTTGAAGGCTAGTTTATTTCAGGATCACTTTTCTGAGTGAAACTCCCTGTCCCTCCTGTACTCCTCCCAGCTGCACAAACCCACAGCTGCTTTCAATTTTCACATCAGATTGCTCTTCCCATCTGAACCCTTGGACTCAGTCTTCGGTTGTCCCCTTCTTCCCAGCACTGAGGCAACACATAGCAGGTACACACCTTTGCTATGCTGTCCTGCGGTAGGGCCTCTTCCTTTCCCTGGGGCTGTAGGAGCCATCTCCACCTCTGCAGCCAGAGCATGGCGTGGGACTACTCCTGTGCACAACCTGAGTTTGCATTCTTGAGGGAAGTGATGGAGATATGAATCCAGAACAAGCAGCTGAGCAACCTGATCTAATTGGATCTGCTGCAAGCAGGAGGTTGGTGTCCAGAGGTCCCTTCCAACCTAAATTACTTTGATTCTCTGATACAGTTTCTGGGCTTGTATTTGTTTTATTTGATAAAGGTACATCATCCATCCATGTATTAAAAAAATAATCTTTCTGATGAAGCCCCAGTCCCCTCTCCCAGGTCTCCCTCCTGGCTGAGTGCTTCCTCCTCTGCCTGCTCTCTTCACACCATCTTGAACCCAGGTCTGCAACCCTACAGGCCATTAACAGGGTTTGGGTTGTGGGGTTTTTTAGGCCACTGCTTAGTCCTCTGTGGCCAGGAGGAGGCATGGAAAACCCTGTCCCTGCAGAGACGCTGATTACTGCACCCTGCACCAGCATGGGCAAGAGCAGACCTGGTACAAAGGCAAAGCGACCTGGCCACCTGCTGCCTCTTAGCCATGCTTCAGCAATGGTGGAGGAGGCAGGACTATATTTGCTTCCCATGGTCATCCCAGGCTCAGTAACCTGTCCTCTCATCCCCTGTGGGGAGCTTAGCCTTTGGTGTATCAAAAAACACTGTAATGGCTGATTTGAGGTTAGTGCCCTCTGCCTGCCTTGGAGTGACTGGGAGGGGAGAGGAGGATCTTGTCTTGCTCCTGAACCAGCCCCAGCACATCTCCAGCCTCGTCCATTTACCTGCGAGGGCATACGAGATGGACCAGCTCGGGCTCGGAGGACCCCAGAGGGGAGCAGGCCATGCTCCTCCTTGTCAGCAAAGAGAGAGAGGGGAAGGAGCCTGGTCATTTGTGGCCAGACCAGAAAGGACGGCTCGGTAAAGTGGGGGGAGAAGACCCCTGGATCATCAAGAGGAGAGTACGGAACATGTTTGTAACCCCAAGTCCGACAGCAAGAGGAGGGAGCATGACCCAGGGCAGAAGAAAGGCATGAGGAGACCCCAAATGATCTCCAGAGTCTCTGAACTGGCTCACAGAACCGCAAGGCCAGGAGCAAGGGTGTTTGCTCGCTCCCTAGGGACATGGCATCTGAAACGACAGCCTCCAGAAACAGCCAGGAGCCACCCCGAAAACAGCCAGGAGCCACCCCATCCGGTATGGGGCCAGGGAGGCCCACGTGGCCACAACTGTCCCAAGGGCCCCAGAAGCAACATCCCAACGCCAGCAGAAACGTGGACAAAGCCCCTTCCAGCAGTCACAAAGAGGAGTTACCAAGGGCCGGGCAGAATGTGGGCTGGCAGGAAGGCCATACCCTCCTCCGGCACCACCCGTCCTGGTTGTGAGA